CATAATTTCATAATACTTCAAATTTATAGATGTAATGAAATGTTTTTTAATGATTTAAAATTTTATTTTTATATGTTTTTAGTTATAAAGTAACATAAAAGCTTTGTAATACTACAAAACTATGTACATCATAACGAAGGAAAAAATAATCCTACTTCACAAGGCTTACAGACCCTAAGATTCTGGGGTGATAGGATCTTTACCAACCTGATTGCTCTCATTCAGTGATGACAGACACGGACTTTGTTCAGTAGATACGGATAAATTATGAAAGTGAGGTTTTTCTGTTTATTTGCATGGATCATTTTTATGTTTTCAACAAATAGATGTCTGAAATATTTATCACGTCAGCAAGTATTTTTTGGAAAAGGAATTTTGTTAGCCTTATGATTCCCCATTTTATACAGGGAGCACAATTTAGTCATTCAGACTTCGTTGAATATTTAGGATATTTCCTTTATTCCCATATTGAAAGTGACTTTTTGTTGTTTATTTTTCTTCAAGCAACAAAAACAAAAAGCGGAGTCATGATAATTTTCTTAAACTGTTCATTTTATGGTATCTAACACAAATTTTCTTAAGTTTCCAAAATTATAAGAGAAACAAATTTTCACAGTTTTAAATTGCATTTGCCAACACTTGAAAGACTATTATAAATAAATTCACATATTGAATTTTTATTTTATATAATTATCTACTTATATTGTTTTCTTAGTGATATTAAGATTTTTTTTTTAATAATCACTCAGATATTACTATTGTTTTGCTTTTTAAATTTTTTGGGAGTTTAGAAGGTTTGCTTGCCTGTTTCTGCCTATGCATATTTAAAATGTATGGAATTAAATGTATTTGTTAAAAAAATAATTTGTGTTCTTGTACAAGTGTTTACAAAAGCTTCCCTTCAAATCATGGAAATAGCCAACTCATTTATTTAAATGCTTTTGCTTTGTTTTTAATATTAGCTCTTATGAACTAGGTATAATACAATTGGACATATGGTAAGAGAGAAGAAATTTTATTTTATTAGTAAAAGGTTACTCCAGTACTACTTAGGCAATAGTGTAACTTTTTAATATTTTTCATAGTTCCATTTTTAGCATCCACTAAAATCTATACATTAATATCTACATTTGGACTTTTTGTTTTATTAAAGTGTTTTTCTTTCTGTCTGGGAGCACAACATTGAAATCATTTCAGCTCTTTAAAATGTACATTAACGTTTAGTAGAGCAAGTCCTCTCATTATTACTATTTCTAAAACTCTTGACAAATTTTCTTAATTAATATCTTGAAAACCATTTTGTCATACTCCTGCTAATCAGGAAAAATAACTAATAGATACTAGGCTTAATGCTTTGGTGATGAAATAATTTCTACAACAAACCCATCTGACACAGGTTTACCTATGCGACAAGACTGCACATCCTGCACATGTACCCCTAAAATTACAAATTAAAAGAAATCCCCCAGATAATATTGTATTATATACATTTATGTTTCACTTAGGAATACATTTCAGTTTTTAAACATTTTATGTTTTTTAATACAATTCAATTTTATAAAACCTCTCCATACATACCGTTAATTTTTAAATAGTATGTATATTTATGGTAGGTGTGAGTGAAAGCTTTGTATTTGTATGCTTCATAGTTATTATTGCTAGTTTTTAAAAATCTTGAATCTATTTCAATTAGTGTTAATATATATTAATTTTATTCCCTTGGCTTATTTATATAGTAAATAACATTTGAAAGATAATTTGTAATAAAATGTTGAAATGTTTTCATGGTCTATTATATTAGCTAAAAAAAATAACTACAATAATAACAGTGACCCTTGTGTCCCAAGCTCTCTTCCAAGTGCTAGAAAGACAGCTCTAAAATACCACCTCTGCAATTATAAAGTTGATAGTCTTACTTTATACCACATTATTTCTATTTTGATAGTACAGATTTATTTTTTATTATTTAATATATTGTTATATAATAGTTTTCAAAGGATAAGCTTTATTTAAAATTTATAATTTCTGTTTTTTTCTGTTACTAATATCGTTATCATTAACATATGCATTTTTTTCTTTCTTACTTTCACATTATTGGGGCTACTTTTAGTCTAACTAATTGGCTTGAGTGCCTGGTTTATTTTAAATCTGTTAAATTGCCTTGATCATAATTAGACTAAGGTTTATTGAGGTGGCTTCTAGAGGGTGTTAAATTTTATGTTTTGTATCTTTTTTTTTTCATAGCCAGACCCTATCTATAAAAATAGATAGATACGGACATAGATGATGATATAGAATAGATAAATCAGAACTCTGAGATGAGAAACTTCATCATCAACGAAAGAAACAAGGGAAGAAAGTAGCCTTATTTTGTTTTGAGGTCTTTCTTTGAACATTACAAATAATTTCTCTTCTTCCACTGCCTCCTTTTATTAATTTTGGGGCCCCTTAGTCCCAGGTCAAGTTGTTAAAAGGAGCAGGTTACGAGATGTTGAGTGAGGAGCCCACACGCCTGTCCTCCTGAGGTCCCCACACTGTCATCGAGCAGGAGCAGGCGTCTGTCGCACTGAAAACCTGCGTCTACTCTTTGGTTTCAGAATCCTGGTAGAGAAGAGCGTTACTTTAAGAAGCAGACATGTGAGTCTCCAGATGCAGCCAAGCATGAAATCAGGCTGGGTGGATAACCTTGAACAACGACAAAAGAATAATATTCCAAGCTGTGCTAGAAATTTGCACTAGTGAATTATTCCAAGTTCGAAGGTGGCAAGTATGTTCGCCTAAAAATTATGGGGAAAAAACACACAAAAACTAAAGAAATCCAGATCTTTCCAGTTGTAGACAAATGCTGTATTTCTGGATGACAGGGTTGATTTATTTAAACACATTTCAGTGAATTGAAGGTTGGAGTTGAGAGTGTATCGTGACACACTGCTGTCTTACCAGAATTAGGGGGAGGAAAGTGCTGACCCCAGGAGCGAAAGCACCTTTTTTCACACAGGTGGTCGGCCTTTGGCATCTTTGTGATGTGCACATTGCCTGCCAGCTCCTTCACTCTCATCTGAATGAGGAGACCCTGCTGCCTTGAGGGAGGGCCTGCATTAATAGGGGTGTAAGGTTTTTATTCAGCGGTGGAGGCAACCCCACTAGTGAAGTTAAAACTGAAATCTGATAAGAGGGAGGTGTTGTGTTGGTCTCGCCATTACTGTGACTGTGTTCATATCACATGTTAAATTTTATGTATTTCCTTTTGCAGTTATCAGATATACTTTGTCAGTGCTTTCCTCTGATGAATTAAGAGTTTATTGCAATTTTCAAATTATTTTACAAAAATTGGAAATCCTTAGAGAGAAACTCATCTTACCACCAGATGCGTTTGATGGGGTGGGGTGAGTGTTTCTTTAGATGTGAAGTTAGAATGTATTCTTGAATGTTTACATTGTCATCTATAATATAATATAAACCAGTAGTCTATCGGAGAAAATGTGAATTCATTTAAGTGTTTTTATTTTGATATTACCATTGATTATTCCATAATTTATAAGAATGTGTGTGTATGTATCTCTTGGTGTAAGTGTGTGTGTGTGTGTGGGGGGGGGTGTATTAATAATGATACTTCTTAACTATTTTAGATGTTTGTACATTAATTTGACCTAGCAAATTTTGAAAACCATATTCATAGTTTTTATTTAAATCTAGACACTGAAAGTCTTCTTTATTAATTTGCTTATGTCTCAATTTTCCACACTCGTTGATTATATCTAAAAACCAGCAGCTTCTAGAGGTAAATTGCTTTTTAGAAAGCACTCACTAAACATCTATACTCTATTTTAAGTACATGTATCTGTGAAAAATGAAATCAAAATTAATTTCTCTGTCACAGAAAATATAAAATTTGTCATCACAAATTACTCATTCCTCTCTAATGTTTTACATCACTATTATTAATGATGTTTTAGAAGGTTTACAAACATTTGTAATGTTAGCATCTTTTACTATTAACAAGTGAACGGAACATTTTCCACAATCAAGCGCTGGGTATTTTTTACATTCATTAAATATATGATTGAAATTTATTTAATAAGCATTCCTGAATGACTAAAATAATTTAAATACTGCTACTTTTAGAAAGGTAGAAGGCGTGCTGCAGAGGGCACTGGGTCATGAGTCTAGAGTATTGGACACACATACAAGTTATTCCACTAATTGGTTATGTTACCTTGCAAAATTCCTGATAGTGCTAAGCCAGGTAAGGGTCAGTTTCCATATGCATAGGCTTGGGTGTTTAGAAGAATCTACTTAAAATTCATTTCAAAAATTGTATTGCTGTAATAAATGACAGTTCTTATTACTAATTCTTCTATTATTATTAATATTCTCAGCACATTAACATTAAAACAGTTGAGTTGTATACCTAGCAGGCAAAATGTAAGTAACTATGTTGGATCAGAAAAGGATACCTTCCCACAAACATTTTTTTTAAACCTGGTATGGCCTGGTGCTAAGGGTGAGACAAGAGATTTCAATAACGAGTTTCTTTCACTCTTTTCTTGAGGATTCTATAAACAAGCTGCAGAGAGAAGATGTATTTACCCTAGACTCTAAAATGCACCAAAACAAGGATAGACAAGATATCTAAAGAGCAGTCAAAATTGATGCATATGCAAAGAAGAAATGCAAAGCCAAGTGATAGTTTTTTTATTAGAGTTTAAAGAGATCATTTGGGAGAGATTAATGGTTTATCTTTACTGTGTCTCATTTGGCTCTGTTTTTTGACCAAATTTTTACTTTTAGAAAATGAAATGATATTTCCAAATAAATTTCATCTGAAGAATATTAACAAAGGACACAGTCAATAATGAAGACAGACAAGGCAATTCATAAAAGCAGACGCACTTCATATGCTCTGTCTGGTGCTATGTGCAGAAAATGGCATTCTTCAATTTCTCAGAATGAGAAAATCATCCTTTTATTAATTTGTATCTCTGCTTTAATATTTTTTGTTTTGTTTTGTTTTTTAATTCAGTAAACACAAAACTTGAAATTCTTATTAACACAAGTGGCTTAGGATGGAAATTCTTCGCACTGTTTACATTTTAGTAAAATGCTGGGATATGTTTAGGTAGTTTCTAGTCTCCCCACTCATCTTAAAAATGAATATTTGTAGTAGCACCTCAAATAAATTGGTTTCCACTCCACAGCTATGGCCTTGGATCTTTCTCCTTTGTGTGTTCCCTGACCCTCTGTTAGCCAACCTTGAGAGTTTGACCCTCTATGCTTTTCACCCCAGGTCTGTGCCCTTGACCTTGCTCCGGATCACCAGGTACAGTAGAGAAAGGAGCCACTACTCATTCTCTTACCCACCAGTGCTCTTTCTTCAGAGTCTCCGATCTCTGCCTCAAAGTGATGCCCTGTTGTAAGTTTTACTTAGAGAATTGCTAACCCCACTAAGCTTATTAAACATGAATAGAAGTTTCTGCATGCAATATTCGATTGAAATAATATTAAAAATTATGTTTCGTTTCTCATTTAGACAAAGTACAGTTGTTTCCAGGAAAATGGTTTATTCTCCATCTGATTCCACCATGGTTAACACCAGAAACATGGCAGCACCCTTGTTCCAAAGAGGGAAGGACTCCTGTAAGGAAGAGGCAGAAGGGAAGGCTGGAGGTGCTGGTCAGAAGCCACAGGAGGTGGTGACAGGAAAAGAGTCTGTGACAAGTGGAGCCACATGGGATAAGTGACAGTGATGATTGGGACACCAGCTAAATCTGGTTTGTTAGGAGGTTCTGATGAGAGTCTGCTACCCTTCATCAACCTTCTAGGAAGACCATTTCTGATCTTCAACCTCAGTGTAGCCCTGAATTCATGAGTCATTGACTCAATCCACAATAGCTGTAATGCCACTCTGTTAAAGGTGTTCCTCCCCTCTCAGAATCAGGAAGCACAGGAGATAAGGCAGGGAACTACCTCTGTTTCTCTTGCTAGAATGGGACGTGCTTTGGCCTCCTCATGGAGAGAGAGCATCCCACTTGGAATGTACAGGGAATTTTCCATGGAAACAATATTGACACAGGGAAAGGGGGTCCATCCTCCATGAGTTTGGAAAGCTACTCTATGTTCAATATGTAGGTCGGCTTTTATGAATTTGCCTCAGAAGCTAACCACATTTCCAACACTCTTTCTCTAGTAAAGGTCAAGTTTAGGGTAATGAGTTAAGCCAACACTGGAACATAGTGTATTTATATGGAGCTGAAGTGAATCTTTCCATTGTGGGTGTGTACAGGGAAGACATGAGCCCCACCAACAGCATTCCTCAGCCAAACCTCAGAAGCCAGAATTCCAGCAGCGTTTCAGGATTATAATGTTGACCTTCAGAAAAAAAAAAAAAAAGAACTCACCTTTATTTTAAACTAAGTATTGTTTCTTTTCACATATAAAAGGTAACTGGTGAGTTTGCTTTTTGATGCTTCATTACTTGAGTCTAGCTAAGTGGTTAAGGGCATGTAAAGTGCATATCCAGCCCACAGTTCTTTAAGCATTTATTTCCTTGTCAATGTTACTATGTCAGCAAGTATGTGTGGGTGGTAAGGAAGACCCTGGGAATACTAACCATTTTACTGATTAAATAAAAAGCTGCAAAAATAATGTAAATGAGGAAAGGAACCATCAGCTAATCCCAACATTCTAGCTTAAAAAAAAAAAAATCAAAGGTTTGTAAGTAAAAACATGCCAACATTTCATATATTTTTGACCAGATTTCTCACAACCTTAAGATAAACATTGCCCACAGTGAGAGTTAATGGTAGTGAATGCCTTATCTTTTAATGTGCTTTAATCTGGTCTGTTGTCCTCAGTGAAAGGAATAAAAAGGCTAGGTTATCAAGAGAGGAAACACAGGCCCTATGTCTAGATGCCTTTTACATGAATAGTTGCAAGCGGCATCTTGAGTTCTCTGACTCTGAGGAGTGGATTGTTTGTTGTCTTTGGCATACAGAAATGGGTAAACCGGACTCCAAACAGTGATTCTTAAAAACTGGAGCAATAGATGTGTCCACTGAAGCGGAATGTGGATGTTTTTGCAAGTATGCTCCTTCACTCCCTCCTGATGTATCCCCCACAGCCTTGGTAATATTGTGACCTGTTTTCTAGTAAGCATAACTTTAAAAGCAGACTATGATTTATAAAATCACCTCTGCCAGGTGAAGGTTTAAGATGGATGAAATAGGATCCTTTGAACTTAATGGAATCCTTAATGGTAAAGCCAACTCAATTAGGTGTTTCTGTTAGAGTGTTTTTCTGCATTCATTCATATTTTCTGAAAAAAGCAGAACAATATGGGGAGTATATTAATCATGTTACTACTCTGGCTGGAATAATTTATTAAACCGTATCATAGTTTCCTGGAAGATTTACTAAGCCTCTTCAATTACTTAACTCTTGTAGAATAATTTACATACTGGCAGAGCAGATAAAAAAAAACACATGAATGAATTCATTAAAACTATTTCAGAAGCACCTGGATGAAGATAATATTTTCATCTCCTCAATCATGAAAGACTGTTTTCTATGTATCAACTTGTTTTTAAAAAATTACCTCTACAAATTATTGTTTCACTAAACCTTTTGCATCATCAACACTGTTGATCAATGGCAAGGATTTATTAATTAATAAATTAATTTTAAGTAAGTAAATATTTTAGCATTAATGCGCTTATTTGTGCCATTAATGTTTAATTCCAATTTTCTGATAATAAGGCATCAGTCAAAATAATATGTTTTTTTTTTCATTAGTAGCTGCTTTTCCCTTTTAGTATTTTGCCTCTTTTTCTAAATATTGTAAGCATGACTTGTAATACTGCTCACAGAGATACACATAGGTCAGTCTCTCAGAAGTGCATTTGAACAAAGGGCTTAAACACTGAAATAATGAAATTGCAGGCTTTCCTATTTATATAAAAGATACGTTGATTTTGTTTAAACGTAATAGCCAATTGATTATGAAATGTACCATTAAACGTACTACTGGGAAAAAGAAGTTATAAACTATGATGCATGCTCAGGAATAATTCTACACAGCATACATATTGGTCATAGTAGCTTTTGGAAACTTTGCAGTGTATTGAATATATTCCAAGTGAGTTGTCATGTTCTTTTTTTTTTCTTCCCTACATGGCTTTCAGCTGATAGGCCACCAATTTGTGCCTATCCCACTTGCCAAATATAGCACAACTTGATCGCCTTCCATTCTTAGAAACAATGGAGCCCCCCTTTTTTTTGCCTTGCAAGAGGATAAATGGAACTGCAGTCATTTCTCCAGTGGCTAATACCTGCCAGCAGATACTGAAAGATGCCATTGATTTCAAGATGTATCCTGATTTCAGGGTTGGTAAGTTAGGAGAACATTGTTTCCTAGAAGAGATAAAATATAGTATATGGTGGCAGATTCCATTCCTAAAACTGTCTAATTTGTCTACTCAAGAGAATGAACTGCCTAGCACTCCCATCCACATATGGTTATAAATCCTAAAACTATAATGGTGTTTGTGAGACATTTACCAAAAGATGGGGAATGTGGAGACCTGGGTATGAAATAGAGGTCATGTCTTTATTACTGATTTTCTCTATTAAAATGTTCAACAATTAGGTCAGATGTGGTGGCCTGTAATTCCAATATTTCAGCAGGCCAAAGCAGGAGGGTCATGTGAGGCCAGGAGTTTAAAACGGTCTTGGGCAACATAGTGAGACCCCTTCTCCGTAAAAAAAGTACAATAAAAAATTAGCTGGGTGTAGTGGTGTGAGCCTGTAGTCCTAGCTGCTTGGGACTAAAAGGAGGGAGGATTACTTGAGACCAGGAATTCACTGTAGCCCGGGCAACAGAGCAAGACCCTGTCTCTAAAAATAATAATAATAATAATAATAAATAAAAAATTTTTTAAAAATTAAGTAGTTATTAACATATTTCATTTAGTTTCATTTTTAGTAATAGATTATATATTTATAAATAAGCAAATATATGTTCTCAGTTACCAACCAGTTGATAAAGAAAATAAGCATATGTGAAATATAAAATCAGAATCATCCAAAATAGTACATTAAAATTGCTTAATTTCAGATGATGATTATTGCCACTTCATAGGCCTAAGTTCAAAATGTAATTTTTTTAGAACAGTTTGCAGTTTCTCCTTGATCTTTTACTTTTTTTTTTCAGGTGGAGTTTTGCCCTTGTTGCCCAGGCTGGAGTGCAATGACGTGATCTCACTGCAACCTCCGCCTCCTGAGTTCAAGTTATTCTCCTGTCTCAGCCTCCCGAGTAGCTGGGATTACAGTCGCAGGCTACCATGCTCAGCTAATCTTTGTGTATTTAGTAGAGACGGGGTTTCAGCATGTTGGCCAGGCTGGTCTCAAACTCCTGACCTTGGGTAATCCTCATGCCTTGGCCTCCTAAAGTGCTGGGATTACAGGCGTGAGCCACCACACCTGGCCTAAAATTTTGAGCATGCTCTTAGCAAGGGACAAATGGCCCACAAACTAAACTGAAAAATGGAATGTACAGGCATGGCTATCTAAGGGTAGCTTTTCTTTTTACCTTACATTATTCATTCATAACTGTTAATATATGATCATATTTTATAAATTACTAAACATATGCATTTATGGAAACAGCCATATACAACAAGACACTACATGAACGAATACATAGCCTTTTATACTTTGCTGCTAATATGCAACATCTCTAGATGTTTATACCTATTCACCTAATAATTTTTTTTAAAAAATACATATGGTTTCTCTCACTATGCTTTTCTGAAAAAAAATTTTTATTTCAAATGGTGTCCCTAAAATTTTGACTTCTTTGTTTAAAATTCAATGCCAATTTCTTCAAAAGTGTGGCTACCTGACATAAACAGCCTGTGTGTGGATTTCATTTGAAGTGCTGAAAAATAAAAAGTCTATGGGCTTTGGGGCTTGGCAGAACTGGGTCTTCATCCCAGCAATGACTCTAGCTCACATACGTTTTCTATTCTGTAAAATAAAGGCAATAAAACTGGAATATTGTGCTGTTTCTCTGAGCTGATATGCTGCACAGATATCACGGTGCAAGGCTTTAAGATATATCAAATATGTTATACCCTCTCAACTCCAGTTATATATAATAAAGATAAAAACATCTTAAAACTGTATAGAGACATGTAACTTGCAGTAACATTTATGCAAATTAAAACGGGAATAGAAATGTCTGAAGCCAAAAGACATTTGTAAACTTAAAAGGAGAACAAGAGAAAAAAAGTTGAGAAGAAGGAGTAGGAAGAAAAGACTGACTATAAAGAGAGGGGGAAGGGAAGGAAGGAGGGAGAGGGCAAGAAATGAACCAGGCTTTTTCCATAACTTGTAGTTACTGATGAAGTATTAATCACTGTTTTGGGCTATTATTTCATTTTTGCTTATTGATTTGCTCTTTCAAATATAATTGTTAATACTAATTTCATTCATCCATGAAATGCTTTTGTTATTTTATGACCATTAAAATGTATAGAATGTCTATTATGTTTCATGTACTGAGCAATTATTCATGGATAATGTCTTTCTAACATGAAAGACATTTCTAACACAAACTCAATGTGTTAGGATTAATTATTTTTATTTTGCAGATGAGATGTCAGAGGCTGAAATTTACTGACCTAACTAAAGCTACTGCCTTGAGAACACACACTTGTTTATTATTATGGATAGAGACCCACATAGTGAACCATATTTCCTTTCAAAACTAGGTAACACATAGAAGGTAATTTTGTGCCAACAACATAATATGAAAACAAAAAGCAAAAGCATCATAAATGTTAATCTATATGTTTAATGAACATTTTGGAGGAAGTAAATGTACTGATAGGTATGAAGGATGAGCAACTTGGGCCAGAGAGAATCCGAATTCCCTGGATATCCATATGCTAGCTGCAAGAAACTTTGGCCAATCCCTTCATATCTTCAACTTAAAATGTTCTTATATATAAATTAGAATTAATATCAAATCATAAGTTTGTTAGGGAAGAAAGATAATATATATAGTATATAATCAAATTGCAGTTATAATTGTTTTGGTTATGACCTCTAAAATGATAACTATTATTTATAACTGTTATAATTAGGTAACAATTTAAAATGTTTATAATAACATTGTTAATCCAAAAAAAAAAACTGTTATAGAACCATACTCTAGGTTCCAACTGTGAAAACCTCTGCATAATGAGAAAATGGTAAATAAAATGTTCTGCAAGTGGGATATTGCTAATGAATAATTTTTAAAATAAATACTATTTGTTTTATAAAATTTACACAAATATAATTTCCTAAAAAAGATTACAAAATTATTTGTCACAAATAGTTAATATGTGACTCATGAGCAAGGTGTTGAAATTTTTCAAAGTATTAATCCAAATAATGCTAAATGACCTGGATCCTGAAAACATACTCAACATGATATATTTTGTCAAAGAGCCAATATCTAGCAGGAATCTGCTATGACTTTGGAGGGCCAGTGCTCAGAATTATCTTTTAGGACAAAGCACAAATTGCTCCCCAAAATGCCAAGATTATTTGATCATTAATCAAAAAGAATGTAAAACTTTATTCTGAGAGTTTTGATTGAATAAAATATGAAAATGACAACACTTTTATGTTTTTCCAATAAGAGAGATTCAGATTGAAAATGGTATTTAAGCTTTTGTCCTATCCTGTCTTTTTAGAATAGCACATTAAATATTTGAGATGGGTAGAAGGGGAGGGACATTGTTTTAACACGTTTGTTTCACCATGACAAGGTTTGTCTCGAGACTGGAAATTAGGGAGAAAATATTAATAGTGGATTCTATAAAAGGTAAATGTCAGCACCAAGGAAAAAGGGAAATCAAAAGCAATACAAGTAACACTAAGCATGTTTGGTACATTAGAAGAATGTTAATACCATGGATTTTAATTTAGTAAGATTCTAACTTTAGTTTGTGAAGAGTGGAGAGTTGTGAAGATTCTACTTTTATTTTGAATGTAGAATTCAACAGATTATCAAAGAGAAGATAGATATTTCTTGGTCAGTCACACATATATTAACTTTTATATTTTGACACAAAAATACACCGCTGACCCTTCCCATAATATATAACCAAATGTATGCAGTGTCTGTGAAAAATATAACATAAATATTTAATCATTTAGGCCCTGATGCAACCATATAAGGAGTGAAAATCTAGGAAAATGCCCTGTGACAAATTCTAGAATGTTATATTGATTGCAGTAAGCCTTATTAGCCTTCTCTTTCTACCAAATATCTACAGTTTAGTTCTTATAGGTAAAGCCAGTTGTTTATGTTTATATGGAGATATATATATATATATATATATATATATATATATATATATGCACTTAGACAATGACAGAGACAGATTTTTTTTTGTTTACATAAAAGGATTTAAACTTTTCAGATGGCAGCAACTCAAATGCTCACAGGATTTACTCAGTTAGAAATCAAATAAATTCATAACTATTCCTTGTGCTACAGAGATGTAATAGATATCAGATCATATCATGTTAGAATGAACACATGATTCGGAGGCAAGTATATGATTGAGGGTCTAACAACCTTGCCAGAAATTATATAATCAGAGTGCCACTGGGGGCCAGATCCAGATCTTCTGGTTTTCAGACTGAATATTAGTCTATTGCCTATATGAACAGATATGAATAGGCAAAAATATTAATCCATTTGCATGCTTCTTTCTAAAAAATGAAATTAGTATATACCTTTGTTTATGGTGTCATTTAAACAAAAATAAGTTAAGATCATGCTTTGTCACTTTTGAAATCAAAGGCCTTTTAATGTGTTTTTCATTATGCTTACCAAAATTGTTTTAAATGCATATATGTTTACAAGAATAAGTTTTAATCTCATGCTGTCTTCAAAACTACCACATCCCACAATGAATTTAAACATTATTTTAAAGAAAATAAGTGTTTTATTTCAATTGTCAAGATGTACAAGAACTGACATTTAGCAGCACAAGGCTTAAAGTCCCTTTGTAACGATATTAATTTGTATGGCTTAGATATTCTAGGGTATTTACGTATACCTCTCCCATTAAAGGCCACTAAATACGGCGTGTTTCTTCAGTAAGATTACAATCTATTTTTTGTAATCTTTGTAAAAAATAAGCATGTAACACAAAATAAGAAGCATTATAGAGTTTTGAACATTAAAAATGGCAAAACCATAAACTTATAGAATGTCTAGATGTTGAGGTTATGATGTTTATTGCCATTTTATTGGTTTGGGGTCAGAAAAATGTGTTCAATTTCAAATACGTTCAGAATATAAAACCATGTGATTTTATTAGCATTTTCACGTGATTCATTTGATTATTGGCTTAAGAAACAACAGCCTAAATGGTGATTCCTAATTTCACTAATCTTATTGGTTCTGCTATGGATATTTTGATAAAAATCAACTGTGTTTTATGTTGCTTTCAAAAAATTAGATTAGTAGAGATAACAAACACAAAAATAAGAGTACCTGAGCATTTCTCCATTTTTTCTCAGCTAGGATGTGAAGCACATGTAGCTGCAGCCTCGTCAGTATCAGCTTCATGGATGCCATGTTGAGGTGGCTGCATCTGTCATTCTGTGTCATGTCACTTTGCATGGTGCCTTATAATAGATGCTGACATGAGGTAGCAGGCTGCCTCACACCTATGAAAGCAAATTCCGAAGGAAAGCAGATGGCACAATCTTTGCTGCAGTAAGTATTGTGGGAAATCAAACGTTTAAACCTAATTGTGGAAAAGGATATTACATTTCTAAAACTGAACTGTGTCTAATGATACCTGATATAAAAGATAAATGTTATTTGTTCTAACACATGCTTTCTCTTGAACCACGTGACAAAATAGAAATCAGACTAATTGAAGTTGTTTCTTTTTTATATTGCACTAGTTATCAAAATAGAAAATATATAACCACCCTCCATTGCTACCATGATTATTTAAAAATTGTTTTTCACAGGTAACACCGGTGCTTTTGTCTTTCTGTTCAGTGACACTGAAACTAAAATGATTTAACAGCCAATTCCTGTAACTTTGGTGAAAGCGACACTAGGTTTTGTTTGTTTGTTCTTTTGCCACTGATCAAGCCTAATTCTTAAATTGTGGCTAAGAGTAGCCAGTACAGATGTTGTGAAAAGTTTTCAGAGATAATAGCTACTTCAACAGAATGTAGACTGAACAATTGCAGCTAAATAAGGCCAAATGTATATAAACTATTCCTATATTATGTTAAATTTTAGTCTGGGTCACTGAATACTGAAAATAAAATCTAATTATTCTCAGTTGAAGAGTTTAATGTCACCATTGTGATCTGCCCTACTTCGGAAACTCTTGAAGTTTCTTTGCTGCAATGATGAGCAGGTCATTTATTTTGTAGAACATTCAGCTGCTGAGTGATAGATCATCGTCATGATTATACAATTGATATTTTATATGATAAATGAAATTAATTATGAAGAGGAGGATATATGATTTGGTAAATCTCTGTTTAGTAGGAGTAAAGGTATTCTGGTGCAATCAATATAATATTTTTAAAATATAATTAAGTAGGTCAATTAATCTAATAAATGTAACACTTCACTAGTTTAATAATTAGCTTATACAGCCTTTTAAAACATAACTAATCCAAATAAAGGTTTATTTTTCTTAGGTCTCATAAGGACATATGTTAGTTTTCATTTTAAGTAAATAAGTTTTATATAAAAAAATTAGTCTTCATATGGGCATTTTAAGTTCAAAATGTAGACATACAAATAAATTTACTGATTTGATGCTGTGAAATTATTTTCTTGGAGGCTTCACTAAGATGTCTCAATATGTCTTACTCTTTCTATAGCAAAATAGATTCCTATTCAAGTAGTTTTTATATGTTCTATGTGAAACTATAATGCAAACTATGGAAAGGATATATTAATGTTTTTCATGAATAAAGGAATCAAATTTGGCATATATATTTATACCTATATGTCTATATTTTAAAATGTTTTGAACTAGTCTGTCTAGTATGATGTCACAGAAGTTGGGGTTGCATAATGCTAGTTTAGGATTCCTTGTTTGAAACTCAGCTGTGAAAGACCCATTCATTTGCTGTGTAGAGCTGGGGTTATGTAATAGGCTCTGGCCAATGAAATGTTCTCTAATTATCTCATAAAAACATCAGTGATCACTAAACTAAGATAGATGATTGATATAAATAGATGATAGGGAGAGAGAGAGAGAGAGGGAGAGAGAGAGAGAGAGTCCTAGTCCATTTGCATTGCTGTAAGAATACCTGAGGGTGGCTTATTTATAAAGAATAGAGGTTTATTTGGCTCACAGTTTGCAGGCAGTAGA